ATAGCTATATATCTTTGTGACCGTTAAGCAAAGAAGAAAATGTTCTTTGAATTGTTACAGAGGCTTGCATATAAATAAATGTAGCCATTAATAAGTCTAGAGTGGCCACTCCATGAAATGGTCTTACTATATTGATGGTTAAAACATCAATGATGTCTAAAGCTTCTCCTGTGCAGGTGCATAGAAGTAGGAAGATTGATTGCCTTTCTTCTTCACAGGAGACCTCACTACCATATGCTGGCTGGGCTTTATAAATGCAGTAGTCGGTGACAGGTTATTGAACTCTATGCTCACTGCACAATAACTGTGACCTCTATGTTTAGATCTGTAATACGTTTTTTCTGCAGATCATATCTGCACTGTTCATAGAATCTGCAGAAAGCATGCAGTAAACTGGAAATATTCTGTTTCTCGTGTCTATTGTTTACATTTACTTGGAATACATAAGTAGGTCTGTGGTATACCTAAACTTTTCATAACTGTTCAATTGATGTGGTATAAGGGCTAGTTCACAGCAGATGCAGTTGTGATGCAGTCTGTTCCGTTTGCAGCTGCATAAAAATCGCGTCACAATGCTTTCCAATGGGTTTTCTGGTGCTCTGTTCACACCAGTGCAGTCCGTTCCAATGCATTCAGAAAAAAATACTGCTTGCCCTATTTCAGGAGCACCTGATTGCAATGGAACGCATGCAAACACACTAGACTGCACCTGAAAGCCCATTTTAAGCTACAAAAAAATAAACAAAGAACGCGTCAATTGTGGTAAAATCTCTGTAAATTCACGGCAACCCACATTGCAGTTCTGGTGTGAACTAGCCCTAAAACTGTAGCATTACAGTGTTAGTCCCAGAAACCTGAAGGACAAGTTCATGTTAAGAATCTCTTCATGTCAATAAAAGAATAGGCCTAAGGAATGTTTCTCAACAAATACCCTTTTACACTTGAAATTAATTTTACTAAAAAGTCTATATGGACATCCTCAGGTACACCTGAGTTCATGGCTCCAGAGATGTATGAGGAGAAGTATGATGAAGCAGTAGACGTCTATGCCTTTGGGATGTGTATGCTGGAGATGGCCACTTCTGAATATCCATACTCGGAATGCCAGAATGCTGCCCAAATATACCGCAAAGTGACCTCAGTAAGTAACACCATTAAGCTCTAATTGTAGAACAAAGACTTAAGCATGATCACAAGCAGTGACTTTGCTTGAACACTAATTTGACCTTTTGGCAGAGATTGTGTGACCATCTGTCGTTCGCTTTTCCAACTTTCCCTAGAAGCAGTGGTTAAAATAATGACACATTTTGGCATGGCTTAGCCTGAAATATATGCATGTATGTTTTTTGTGCTTGTGTTATGTGATTATCATACCCAGAAAAACCAATGCAATTAGCTGATGTTTGCTTCCCGTTTTACTCAGCTCATGGAAAAAGTAATGTGAGCTAACATAATTACTTAGATAAGAATTTCAGATAACAAGGAGGAATGAAGTGTTCATTCTCTGTAGGATTTTCTGTGTTCTATTATAGAAAAATATCCTGTCTATGGTATTAGATTGAAAGGCAACATAGGCACTTCCTTTGTCACCAGAATGGGGCCAACAAAATGGGGTACATTTACAACAGTAATTTAGCTATTTTGTGGAACATACTGATTTTGTTATTAGCGCATGTACATTGGAATGTTACAACTTTCCATAAAATCTAATCATAATGTAAAGTGAACCTGAGGTCAGGCTATGGACATTCAAATATTTCCATATTCTTAACAAAGAGTAAATAAGCTTTACCGCCAGCCTTCTAATCTCAAATGTAAACCTAGAGAAAGTTCTTTGGGAGAGGGCAGCAGGGTAAGCTGAGCTACTGAGAGAATGACTAGAGGTCTCTGGTGCTTCTGCTGAACTTTTGAGGATGCAATTCCCCACAGTGCTTTCAGTGCGGGCCTGTTTTACTCTAGGTCTTTTACTTTTTAAGGATATGTAAATATTTGAACGCCCTTAGCCTGGCACCAATTCACATATTCACTTTAAGTTGATTAGATTTATATGGAGAGTGGTAACATTTAAAATACTTGTGTGATGGCAGCTTGTAGGGATATCGCAAATCAAGCTCTGATGCAGTCTGGGCGGTTAAATTTTCCTGTGTACAGTTGGTTTTTTTTCTACCAGTTACATTGAAATATACGCTGATCAGTCTGAAAAGTGGAAGCAGTTACCATTAAGGACATACTTGAATCTAACATGAAAATAATTGTAAACTGATTTAGGGAAAGGGTGATGAGTGACAGCCGATGAATGGTGAATGTAAAATTTTCATCCAGGCTTTAATTTGCTGCAGCTGACTACCCTGGTCGATAAATCTTTGCAGTTATCCTTGCATATTCTCATAATCTGAATGGCCTTGAATCTTAGCCTCTGAAATTTCAGCCCAATTTTTTCCCAGGATCTAGCATTACCCTTGGTCTGTGAAGAGTGGAGCATCGCTAACAAATATAGGAGATCAAGACAGACATTGCACAATACAGAATAGGTGTCATGGTAGGCTATTGTTCCAAACAGAATCAAAAGTTTTTGAACAGGGGCCCAACACTGGGGTAGGGGATGGGGCTGGCAGAAGACAGCAGCAACTGGTGCCTGACACTAAACAGGAGCCCTATGCTGGGGGGGAGAAGTTTGCGGTTGGCAGAGGACAGCAGCAGCCAGCAAGTACAGATTTACAACCAGCCAAGCCCAACCCCTGAAAAACAACTCCACACCATAATCCCAACTCCACCAAACTTTACACAATGCAGTCAGGCAAGTACCGTTCTCCTGGCAACCGCCAAACCCAGACACGTTCATCGGATTGCCAGACAGAGAAGCGTGATTCATCACTCCAGAGAACACGTCTCCACTTCTCTAGAGTCCAGTGGCGGCGTGCTTTACACCACTGCATCCGACGCTTTGCATTGCACTTGGTGATGTAAGGCTTGGATGCAGCTGCTCGGCCATGGAAACCCATTCCATTAAGCTCTCTACGCACTGTTGTTGTGCCAATCTGAAGGCCACAGGAAGTTTGGAGGACTGTAGCTATTGAATCTGCAGACAGTTGGTGACTTGTGCGCACTGTGCGCTTCAGCATGCGCTGACCCCGCTCTGTCATTTTACGTGCCCTACCACTGCGTGGCTGAGTTTCTGTGGTTCCCAGTCGCTTCCACTTTGTTATAATACCACTAAAGGTGCCCATACACCTTACAATTTATCTGCAGATTTTCTGTGGTCAGATGGAAAAAGTGCAACAGTTTGGCCCAGGTGGAGATTACTCCATCCACACAGTTAAGTGTAGATGGAGGAATCTGTTGCACCTTTTCCATCTGACCACAGAAAATCTGCAGATAAATTGTAAGGTGTATGGCCAGCTTAACAGTTGACCGTGGAATATTTAGTAGCAAGGGAATTTAACAGAACACCTGAATCCAATGATTTGGAGGGGTGTCCCAATACTTTTGGCAATATACAGGTGAAACTCGAATAATTTGAATATTATGCAAAGTTCATTTATTTCACTAATGCAACTTAAAAGGTGAAACTAATATATGAGATAGACTCATTACATGTAAAGCAAGATAGTTCAAGCCGTGACTTGTCATAATTGTGATGATTATGGCTTCCAGCTCATGAAAACCCCAAGAACCCCAAATCCACAACCTTAAAAAAGTAGATTATTACATGCAATCAAAACAAGGATAGTACATAGAACAATATCGGACCTCTGAAAAGTACAAGCATGCATATGTACTCAGTACTTGGTTTGGGCCCCTTTTGCAGCACTTACTGAAATTACTTTTGCACAATATTCTAATTATTCGCGTTTCACCTGTATGACAGGTTTAACCATACAGTTGCGCTCTTCACAGAAAATACTTTAAATTCTTATTTAGAGCACAGAGATAAGCTTATCTATTTTTAAGATCATCCTTTAATAAAAGAAACGGTGCAGTAAAATATACAGAAAACTATATTAATAAAGAGAGACAAGATATATAACAACAGTAAAATAAAAGGGAATAAAAAGAGAATACTTAACCGTCCTGGTTTTATGAGTTCTGACAGAGTCCAAAGTTCAATAAGCAAAAGAGGGGTCTGAAGGGCTCCTGATTCAAGCAAGACTTGCACAGATGATGTCCAGATATTAAAGGGGAACTCTTCTGCGATGTTGCAACTTCTTAGTTCCTTTCCATGATGTTACAAAACAAGAGCCTCTCTAGCTGCCTCAGCAGCATCTTTTTGTCAGCTCTCTAGGGGGTGTCACGGAGCCGGCCCCTAGGGCAGGGCTGGGTAGGAAGAGCAGGAGGGACGAGCCTTTACGATTTCCTCCTCTGCTCCTCCCAAACGGTTAAATTCATAACTAAGCAGTTAGTGTAGTATTCATATTCAATACGGTCCGACAACCCCTAAATAATAATGTGTCATGAAGTTCTTTTATAGTCTATATTTTTTTGGTATGTTTGTTTCGCCGAGACACAGCTAGTTGTGCACTTAATTTTACAATATCACTGTCCAATTCCAAGTTAGGAAATTGAGTTGATATTGGAACTCAGACTTTTGGGTAAATGCCGGGTTACCTGGGTCATTAACCCTCCCTCCGGTGTTTATCTAAAGCTGTCACTTGCAAATTTAGAAGGGGATTAGCTGAGCTGGGCAAAAGCATTTCAAAGCATCAGCGGTTTATGGCACCGCTCATAAAGAAGTAATTGAAGCTGATCCCCATCAGGTCCAGGGGAAGCTCTAGATAACAATCATTTTTAAGACTTCACTTAAGGTGCCCATACACCTTACGATTATCGGACGATAATCGTATGCGATCGACTTTTCGTCCGATAATCGTATGTGTGCATTGCAGTGTCCGACCGACAATACTGTACAATCGTACGACTTTTGACGGTCAAGCATGTTTGAAAACTTTGCTAGATCGTACGATTGTCGTAAGGTTGCTGGCGTTTCCGTCCTTTAAAAGTCGTACGATGTACACTGCGCTTGCGCTAACGAAAATACGGCAAATCAATTACCGCATTTCGTCCAGGTGCTTTTGGTTAATTACGGCTAAATGATTCTTGCGATCATCGGGGCAGGATGGGGCTGCTGCACGAAAATCGTACGACTATTCGATCATCGGACGAAAAGTTTTGTCCGATAATCGTAAGGTGTATGGGCACCTTTAAGAACTATACAGATTACAGGTGCAGATTAGCAGATCTCTGTTTTTTGGAATTTGAAGAGACCTGAAGAAGAGTCAGGCTAAGGTAACCTACAATGACAGCCTGCATTTGCTTTAGCTAGATATAGTTAATATTAATAGACTCAAACCTCATTATTGTCCCACTGTACAGTTAGTAAACTATTGCTATGCTCTCTTGAAAGCAATGCAATGCAACTAATCAAGTTTTACATACAGAGCTCCGGGCTTGGATAGCACCTGTTGCCACATGATTGATTTTGCTAGAGAGGCTGCCATATGCACAAGTAGACCGCATTCAATTGATTGAAGAATGTTCATGTTTTCTCTGAATTGCACCTTCAAGTACCTAGGGATATAGCATAAACAAGAAAAAGGAAAGAAAGGTTTATGCAATGCTCTTTAGTAACTGTAGGAATAGCCAATTACAGTACCTACATAAGGCCACAGCCTAGTGTATAATTTTAATACTTCATTAACAGCACAGTAAAGTCAATTAACTCTACATTCTAACAGCCAAACTTAGTAGCTGGTTATGTTTTGGCTCATTTTCTGAACTGCTACTGAAGAGGATTTTCTGCCAGAAACCTAATGTATTCCAAATCTGTTTCAAAACAAAATAGCCATCAGACAATGATGTAATTACTTATAAATGGAATTAAATCTTCATACTTGTGTATTTTGATGTTATCAATAGAGGTGCACCGAAATGAAAATTTTAAAAACTAAACTGAAATGGAAAAAAATTTAGGGCCAAAACCGAAAATGATTTTTTTCTAACTTTTTTTAAAAAATTGTAAATATTTTATTATTTATTTTTATAAACTTCTTAAAATGTTTTATATTTTATTTTTATTTCTTTATTTTTATTAAATATTTTTATTTTTTACTTTACTTTTAGATGCTTCTGGGAAATATTAGGGAT